TCAATCGGCCTCTCTCTTCCTGAGTTTCCTTTTCCATAAGTATAAATAAATCAATTAAAGAGACCCTCAGAAACGTCTAGAGAAGAGGCTTAGGTCTCCTGCATGGTTGGTTGTTGCAGGCAGAATAAATACGCGGCTATGGAATATCAAGCCTTCTACCATGTGCTAGGTCATAGATTCAACCAAATAAGTGCGTACAATGGATCGAGTAGTTTTTGCAACTGACCCGTTTGGCTTGGCTAGCCCATCTGTTTGTCGTTTTGTGTTTATGTAGGGAGTGACTAATTGTTTGCTGAATGTATCTTTTTCTCAGTAATTGCTCAAGATGTCTATTCTGGCAAAGTTCTTCATTTTTGTGTTGTTAAGTGGCATGGTTTTGGGCGGAAAAATCCATGAAGATTCGCCTGAAGGTGGTGAGCTTTTCTTTTCTTGTTTTTTTAAATCGTAATTATAAGAAAGGTATACGTTATTATTAGCCAATGAGAACTCAAAGTGGAAAAAAGCAAACAGCCTAAGGGCGGGAAAACGCGGATGACCAAGCCGCATCTGATTGGTTCAGAGGATGGCGCAAGTTTTCTGGACCAATCACTAAGCAAAATTAAGTAAAACCAAAGTAGTTGCAGATTAATTTCGACACCCAATTAAAAATTGCTCGATCAAGTCAAAAGTTGAGAGCTAGGAATACAAAAATACTAAAAAAAAACATTCCTCTGCGCTGACGACCTTCGCTTAAACAGTGAGTTTCGATATCGGCTTGGGTATGTAAGCGCCTATAAAACCTTTTTCCTCACCGTGGACGAAGCATTGTATTCAGGAAAATGTGTTGAACGTCAAATTCTAGTAGCTTTTTCCATCTCTGCTATAGCATGGTTTTCAAGCAATTATTATCGCCCAATCCTCTATCTGGCTCAGTAGTCTAAGAAATCCCTCTTTATTCGTAAAGCCACGTCATCTTTTCAAAAGATTCAGCAAGAGCCGACTCAACTGGATGTATTCGAATAATCTTAAAATCTATAACTAAGATTAAAAAAAAACCATCCATCCCTTATTCGTTTATCAGCAGTAACACACCATCAGGAGAAGCGAATGATATGCCCGTTCTCTTGTAAGGAAGAAGCGTGTCCTTATGGAATGTTACAGATAGGTGGCGACTGTCCTTATCCGTTTCAAGTCTGTTGTCAGCCGATGGTAAGGTTTCTATAAACGTCCGATTGCATAAAAAACAAGCTTTAGTGGTCAAATCGGTTTAAAGCGAGGTTCGACTGAGTCCCGTACAACCAAACTAGAGCCATCACTTTAGCCAATCAGGACAATGGAAGAGATCCAAAAGAACCATGAGAGCTCACAAGGATTTTTTTCCGTGCAGTTAGGTTGCACGAGCCTCAAAGACCAATTACAAAAATCCAAACAAAATCATTAGCCAGTCATAAAAAATGGAACATATGAAAAGGAACTATTGTAAAATCAAAACAACGACAAACGCAGCGGGAAGCGGGTATAAGCGGGTATAAGCGAGTGGTCTAATCGCTTTTAGTTTGAGATATTTTGTCATCGATAGCTTCGTTTTACAAGTTACGTTTATGTTACCTGACTCTCATCTTTCATTTTGTTTTCACAGTGAGAAGTCATTTCCATATGACAGGAGGCTATTTAGCCCTCAGTAAGCGAGTTGAAACTGTAATCGTTTTGACTAAATGAAATAAAAGCATGTAAAACGTTAATGTCGATCACTGGATGCTTGTCTTTTCAAATCACCCAACAACACTTTGCTTTTCCCCCCACACCACAGGCGTAAAAGGGCCAAATATTTTCAAATTTCGTCCTGATCGATAACAGCATAAAAACAACGAGGCTGATATCAAGCCATCTTGACGGAACGAACACGGCCACTATCTCAAAAACTAATAAGAGACAATGAAATGTCCACACAAAGCAAAAAAGTATCAAAGATTGCACACAAAAAACGTATTCAAAAGAGCAGAAAAGTATTTTTCTAACGAATGTGTTAAGAATGGTACGCGTTTCCTGCCTTAGAATTAGTTATTGTTCAGCAAGA